GGCTGAGGCGGAGGTGGAAGAGGCGCTCAGGGGATGTGCCGGCGTGTGAGTGCGTAAAAATCGACGATAGCGGTGATATCCATGCATTTCTTAGGCTACGCACTGTGTTGTACTGTATTTGGTAGTGTTGGTTACTGGAGGTGAGTTTAGAAAAGTATTTGGAAGGGAGGTTAATGTAGGGCAGGTATTGCATTCAATACTCCAGGAGGTTATTCCAACGATAGACAACCAGGAGACGCGTTGTACGAGGCCAATGGTGAAATCCACCGATTCCTCAGGCTACAAGAAACAAGACAGAGCCCACATGACCAAACGTGAGTAGCTGAATGATAAGATCAGTTACCATAGCTTTTGCAGAAAATTCCAAGAATCATAGTAACGCCCTCCCATGATGGATATACAATTTACGCGCCAAGAATGACTAAACAGCAAGAGAGCATGAAACAACTGTCCTTGTAAACCTACCTACAATGAAAATGAATGCACAAACCACTAGGTCTCTACCGTCCTACTCCCCACAAGAATAGGACTCATATTAGTGTGGTACGGTATATGCTATTTTGCCGCAAGCATACAACCCAATTTCCCGACGGAGAAAGGCACTAGGGAATTAGTCCGTTACGTGGTTCGCCAACTACCCCAATCTTCAGGCTGAGGTGGTGCTTATGTCTCTTCTCAAACAGATGCTGATATCCATCACTATTAGCAAATCGCAGCCACTAGCATTTTAAGAGAATAAGGATCACCCTCATTGACATTTCTGTATGCAGCTCCCCCGCATGGAGTGACGATGTACATGATGGTATGGTGACGCGGGGACATTTAGGGCTGCAAAAGCTGTGACTTAACGGTCAAAAATTGGGCCCGGGCGACATCCCGCCTAGTTGTAGATGATGTGGTTGTCGAAATCTTATCCAATCCTGTTGCGGACATTAAAGGAAGGCAGAAGTCTTTAATGAACGGTTGTGGTGAAAGAGCTACGCTAAGGGATTCTTGATTGATGTTGTAGAGAAGAAGCTACGGAGGAAGAGCCGAACGTTAAGTACGGCCGGGAGGGATTTTTGATTTTCGTTATATTCTTTGCGCTCGAGCTCCGGCTTTAAGTCCCTCGCAAGCTCTTGGTATGAATCGGAGACTAATATGGTTTCGTGACCCTTTATAGTTACCCACAGGAGATCGATAGATGGTGCTGATGGCGCACGTTTTTCTCTGCTGTCTAACTAGGTCAGTTCACAGAACCCAAACCCCAAAAAATAGAACTCACAGAGCCTTGTGGTAGCGAGAGCGTTATATTCGCTTTGGTTGTGGATACTTTTATCTGCAACATAGAGCATCTTTGACATTTATAATGGCCTCACGATTATTTTTGCGCACCAACGTTCCACCCGGATATCTCCCAATGCTGTGGTGGTGACGAGTTCTTAAATTCGACCTATGGCTTGATTTATAGAGGCTTCTATAATGAGTGAAAGTGGAAGCTGTGACGCCTGTTAAGAGTCATAAGCTATGAGAATGTGTCATAAAATGTAATGCGGTTGGTTAGATGGAGAGAGTAGAGATGTAGATTGAGAAGAGCTTTGATATTTATGATCGTAGAGGACATATTGAAGGTGAGCGGTGAGGGGTAGAGACGTTGATTAAAAATCACAATTCCATAAAAAGGGCGGTAAGACGGCTTACTCGTGACGAGTCAAAGCCCATGCACGTATTCAGCAGGCGTCTCATGGAAGTATATCACTTCGTCTTCTCATTCGACATCCTACAACCCAAGGACCTCTACTCGCGTTACCTAGATATGCAATCTTTCAAACTGTCTTAGCAAGAACACAGAATGCGAGTACCCGTTTACAGTCTCAGACGCTAGCTCATTTCTATTATTTATAAGGATGACTTCAGATTTCTCAGCAATCTATAGTTTCGCCTTCGCTTTGGCCCACAAAGTCGGTCTTTCGAGACCCGCAGGCCCATCGTAAATGTCACGTTCAACGGTGCGAGTATTAATCTAGAGTTATTAGCTACAACTAGTGGCGAGAAGGTCAATATATACTCACGTATTGCATGCCTAGTTCTTCAACTTTCTCAACACCAAGAAGACGCATACATGTCTCCGTCTCTGCTTTGAGAACTAAGGTAATGTCAGCTGTGTTCGACCTAAGATTGGGCAAATTGAATAGATGGAAGATCCTATGGGATGTAGACTTACTCTCCAAAACACGAGCCACGCCCTCCTTTCCGCCAGCTCCGAGACCAAATAAGGCCCCTCTGCCAATCCCCACTCCTCTTGCACCCAAGCATAACGCCTTGACCACATCTGTACCGCGTTTAATTCCGCCATCGACCCAGACCTCAATACGGTTAAGTACTTCAGGGCAGTATTTCCTAATCTCTAGCAATGTGTGAACAGCCGGAGGGGCTGTGTCCAATGCACGGCCACCATGGTTTGACAGAATGATACCCTTAACTTGTGGCGTGTACAAACTTGCTAGATAAGCGTCTTCATGCGTTTGAAGGCCCTTCAGCACGATCGGTAGATCCGTATGCTTCGCCAGCCATGGCAGCGTAGTTTTCCATGTTAGATCTGCCGCTGTACCCGCAAAGAGGCTCTGGCCAATCCCGCTAGGTTTCGGCGCAGGAGTCTTAGGATCAGAACTCGTCTGTGACGTCGAGCCACCATCCTGGACCGCAGAGCGCACTGGCAGATTCGACCCTATGTTCTTGCTACGCTCGTCGTCCTCACGCTTGCCTGGAACTGGTGCGTCTAGTGTCAAGCAGATAAACTTGATAACAGGTAGTTTTGCAATCCGCGCGAGCTGCGCTTCGCTCTTTGCCCGCTCGGTTTGCACGTACAGCTGCCAGCCAAACACCTGTCCCGGTGCTGCATTCGCAACTATCTGCTCCGGTGTCATAGACGCATTGTTGGATATTATTTGCATAGCACCATACGTAGCACACGCCTGTGCGATACCGTGTTCGCCGTCCGGGTGAGCAAGGCGAGCCATTGCGGCAGGGGAAACATAAATGGGAAGGTCGACTTTGTGACCAAGGAAGCTCGTCGACGTGTCACATTTTGTGCAGTCGACGAAAACACGCGGGCGAAGTAGGATTTGGCGGTAGACGGTGTTGTTGTAAGCTTTTGAAAGCAGATCGTCGCCGGCTGAGTAGTAGTATGCCCATGCTTTCCGGCTGATCTGCTTTGTGGCCACCTCTTCTATTTCATCCAGATTCAGCAACGATTCGAGATCTGGAGGCCCGGATTCTTCTGGGGATTCTTCCGCAGGAGACTTCTCAGTTGAGGGTAGGGTATCTGGATTGATAGTCCCTAGCTTGGCCTCGGGCTTCAGGTTTTCTTCGAGAATACCAGGGGGATGTATTGGATCGTATTCCTCTGTAGCGTCTGTGCCAGCGAGTTGGAGAATTATTTTGGAGCCGCCGGGGTGGTGGGCAATAAAATCAGTGACATCGTACACGTTGCCGTACAGTATTACCCAGCAACTCTCCGGGGTGTTGTGTTTCGACACTATTCAGACTCGTTAGCAATCCAACCGTTATTCTCCGGAGTGTAGACATACCCTCGGCATAGTCGAATACCTTCGTCATCTTGAAGAACTAGAATTAATTAGATGTTTTCGTAGAAGGGTATGCCAAAGGGCTAAATATATGCAGGAGAGGTGGTGAGTCGTGCAGCAACTACACTACGAAAAAAGTTTCAATGTGGAACGAAAGACGGAGTGAAAGCCATGTCGGAAGAATAGCTTCCCTTCGGTTTACAAGGCCAACCAGCGGAGAGCCACGATAGCGCGGGTGCGAATGCGGAGAGGTTGGGGAGCTCGGTCAAATGCCGCCGAACACTCAAATGCCGACTTGGGAAGGCCGGTCCGCATTTCTCGTCTGAGCCCGCCCTTCGATCAACACCCCAACTAACACCAGCCATTGGCTACAGTCAACACTTCTCAAAGCCTCGCAATCATATCGTTGTTCTAATTCAGAAACCGTTGACTTTTATTAACGCGTTCAAACATTGACTAAAGCCGTCTTTAGATGTTTGTGTGCAATTTTAGAAGCTCTCCGCTAAAGCCGACGCGTCTTTTTAATCCCTGAAGTCCTCGATAACCGGTGCACGCCGCTGTGGCGCTGCCTATCCTTTATTCGGCGAACGAACGAAGTATCTCGCGCGAAAGCCCTCCGTGAAGATGGTGTTGATTGTAGAGCTCGTTTTACGTTTTTGAGAGCGCTACTTACGAGCGTTCTCTTGACCCATAGGCGCCGCATGAAAACTTTCCTTCACGTTCGAATTTTTAATAGTGAAACTAGAATCTGTCATAGTACTGGTTGTCAAGCTCGTTCATGCATGTTTCGCCAGAGCTCCTCGAACGGATAAGACTAAATGTCGCGATACTACAAGAGCCGGTGACATTAGAAACAATCCACTGACCCATGTCGTTTCTTATATCTTAGAGCAAATTTTAGAATACTGAAAATAGCATATACACGCTCGAGTCTTTCTAAATATATAGTGGAGTTGCCTTAGAATGTCTCTTCTTTTTTCCTAGCGAAAGCTCGACTACACGCAATGGATTTGTGCTATTCTACAGAGGCATTTTGACGCAACACCATATAATATACGCACATACGTTAACTCTGGAATGTCTATAAGGCACCTAATCGCATTTGCAGTGCCCTGTCCGGCTGGGTTGATTGAACATGGCTTATTAAATTTACCATCACTTCTCGCCTATCATAATCCACCCATGAAAGCAAAAGTTATCGCCGGTTCTAGCAAAGCTTTAAACACAATAAAAGAACATTCAACAATAACGCGTCCTTGAACCTGACCGTACAACTAAATGCCTCCGATCCGTGTATACCTGTACCCCAACGTACCAACATCAACGACATGCAAAAAAGAAGCTCTCTAGCACTGCTCTGCCACTTGAGATATATATATAGGAATTTTTGCAGTGCACCTCAACAACAGTCAATCAAAGACATCAAGTTCAACAGCTTCTTTAGCTCAGTTGGTAGAGCGCGGCACTAGTATCATCTCATCTCGGGATATGCCGAGGTCATCGGTTCGACTCCGATAGGAAGCAATATGATCTTGAGTTGATTCAAATTTTTTTGATCTTTCTTTGCACATCTTTCTCCAGACACTTGTTGCGTAGATAGGCACCTATAGGACCTTTTTTAGTTTTCAAGAACCCTCCACATCCCCACACCCGGTTAAAAAGGGGTTGGATTACAGGTGCAATCGATATCACCTAAAATTTCCGCACACCGCACTCCAAGCGAACCGGACCCCACACATCCTGTTGGACGTGCCATCACAACTCCTCATGGCTGCATCCAAATGCTGGTTGTATACCCCTCAATTACGGTGAACATGATTGTAGCCTACATAAATAGGAAAATATGGAGCTCGTCATGTCACGTCTAGATCGGCTTGATACATTAACCATACAGAACCGGTTCCAGTAGAACAAGACCCTTTCAGCTTAACAAAGGGATATACCAATCCTTCGTCCAACTGTTCAATATTACATCAAGGCCATGGTTGAAAAATCGTGCGTCTGCTGTTCCTCAAGGCCGCTCGTTATACCACTTTTTTCAACTATACGTGGGGAGCGGCTTTAGGAAGACAGCATGAGCCCGCTAATGATTTGTTGCTCCTAACAAGACGCGCAAGCTCAGGATTTTCTTTATCGAATAGCTAGTTGTTAATAACAAAAAGCCTCACCAAAAAGGAGCAATCATTAAAAATCTGTCTAATTTTGATTTTGAACGCTAACAACCCCTCCCATCGAACAACTATGTATAGGAACGCGAAGCAAGTCAAAAACCTCCAGCCATACACCCCATTCCCAGGCCGCCAACCCCGAACTCCTTCTACCGGCCTGACCACAATATCAATTTCCCCTCCAACCCAATCCCAGCCTTTACCATCCTTCCACTTGCATTTCCCAGCCCTGTTGGTCCACCTGCCCACCGTCATCCATCAAGGCCTCATCGCCCCAATCCATCTTCTCGAGTTCCCTCCTAAAGAAGTCCTGTTCCTCCTCCAGCACGCCGCTCTGGGCGCCCATACCCTCGGGATACTTCTTCAAATTATGCCAGTGCGTCAGCGCGCGCAGCGCTTGCTCCAGCGGCACGCTCTCGTCAACCTCGGCATCGACATCGCTGCCAGCCAGCCAGTCGTCGCGCAGCTCGGGCCTGCAGTGCAGATAGACGGCCGTGATGACGCGCATGTTGGACTGGCGCCACTTGCGGCCGCAGTACGGGACCTGGTTCTTGAAGAGCTTGAGGGTGTAGAGGCGCAGCTCGGGCTGGGGCACTTTGAGGCTCTTGCGGAGGAACTGCGACGACTTGTACGAGACGAGCATCAGGTTGCGGTGGGCCTTGTTCTTGCACACCTTCTGCATGATGCGCAGGTAGTTGATGCTGCTGAAGAACACGCGCCACGAGAAGTTGGTGATGGGCTCCGTCGGGAGTTCATTGGTCGGGAAGCCGAGCTCGTCGACTTCTGGCGGCTGTGAGATGTACGATGTCTCGGGCTCTACTTTATTTGTCTCGTCGCGCCGTTGTTTGATCGGAGGTGGCACGGCATCGTCAGAGTCCGACTCGGGCTCTGGTGGGTCGGTCTTTTCCGGCTCTTCTATCCCGAGGCGAGAGTGCGCTCGACAGAAGTGGAAGAAACTTGGGTAGATAAGTATTTAATCATAGATAGATTATTTTACGACTTACTTGAGGTCTTCCCGCTCGCACTTGTAGTTGACTAGTCGTTCAATCTCTTGCAGTTGCAGTAACTTTAGGATTAGAGGAATGTAACTGGAATCAACGAGTAACTGCGTCAGATACTCGAATTTGAGAACATCTATGGTGGATCAGCTATCAGGTTCGTCGCATTTTCAGCTTGGAGGGGAATTCTTACGGGAAACTTTGAACCATTTAAGAAGAAGTATGAGGATTCCCGAAACGGATTTGTCAAGAATCTCTTGCGTCCTCATCGCATCGAGTTCTTCATTTGATGAAGCGTTATCGTGCTGACCGCCTCCAACTCCATTGGTATCTGGCTTAATCGATCCATTCCCGTTTTGATTCTCTTGATATTGAAATCCGCTCTGTAAACCGCCCGGGCAATTTGCTTGAGTAACGAGTGTAGTTACATGGGATAGAATAACCTTGATGAGGACAATCACTAAGGACTGTAAGTGTTGTAGAACGGACGCCTATGAAAGATGTTAGTTCGAGAGGTGTCTAGGAGATCATAAAAACGTACATAGAACCTTTCAACAGCTTCCAGTCGATCCTCGACGCTTCCTGCTAGTACAGGTTCTTTCTTTTCACCTTCTACATCTTCGGCCTCTTCTTTTGGTTCCAAGGACAGACTGAACAAATCTACATCACTATTCGCATCTGGACCAGCCCATCCTCTTTCATACTTCATGAACTGAACTCTCTCTTCCCAAAGCTGTTTCATAGCACGAGTTGCTCGCATCCGCTTGGCAAATAGCTCGGCAGCCTCCAAAATTGATGCGGGAATATCTGAGCCCTCCCATTTCCGCCCTACGAGTAAATCTTGTAAGTCGGTGGAACCTTTTCCGCCAAGATTGTTACTTGTTTCATCCAAAGGCGGGTAAAGAAATGGGAAAAGCTGATTTGTTTGATAGTTCTGCTTCTTTCCTCCCTTCCCACCCGGGCCTGCCGGAGAAGGAGGTGGTGAAGGTGCGGGAGTTGCAATGTGTACGGGCTGATGGAATATCGAAGTACCATTCCCGTTAAGGTTTGCTAGCCCTGAACCGAAAACATGAGAACCAGCTACTTTACTAGGATGGTTTTTAAGAGGCGGCAGAATAGAATTATTCTCCGGTTCTAGAGGAAAGAGAGGTGGCGGAGGATTATAGGCAGGGTACTTGGAGCTTATCTCCTGGCGGAACAGATGATAATCTAGTGGTGAAGCGGTAATAAGCGGCTGACCACGCGTATCTGCTTCTTCGACATCTTGGTCCCGAAATGATGCTTTTGCTTTCTCAACTTCGGGCAACCCTCCAAAGCAAACAAGGATGCCTTTCCATGTAAGTAGGCACACTTTTGGTAAAGGTATTCCAAGGGAATCGTCCCAGCGCAGCCGAGAAATCAAGTCAACCAGAGTCAACAAAAGGTTCGGCTTGAGATTAGCTAGATCATCGATGTAAGTTTTCGCCAACGACTAAATATTTTCCAGGGCTCTTACAAATTACTTGCCGAATGCTTAAATCCCCGGTTTCTTGTTCTTTTATGCGAGCGACCTCTAGAAAAAGGTACATCGACGTCATTGTACACCACAACTCTCGACGTTCTGCTTCCTTTCCATCGCGAAGAGAGTCCTGGTCCAATAAGTCGACGCCGCTTAAAGCAAGAAACGTCAGCTTTGCGCGTCATTATTATCTTATAGTCCTTCGACTCACCATGTCCGCGAGCAAGACGCCCGCATTGCATCGAAAATTATTGGAATGCCTTCACAATGCAATATAAGCTGAACGTTGGTTTGGATCCATTCTAATTGAACAGCAGATCTTGCATAACTTGGGTTTGTAGTTGTCTTGGTCAACGGCGACTCATTCTCGGCTTCAGGAGCATCTCCGTCTTGACTTAACATCAAACCTGCGGTTTCATGCCAGCATCCAAGAAGGAGATAAGTTATGACCTCCAGAATTTTGAGTCTAGCATTCGGATCGGGCTGCTGGACTCCTACGAGTAGTTTTCGGACAAATTCCTCTCGCTGTTCCATATCAGCTTTAGTCCAGTCAATACTTCCCCCCTCATGCCCCGACCCGTTTACGAGAACCAAATTATTATATGATCCCCACTCTTCGGCAAAGGAAGACCGTGTCTTCAAGATCATAGCTCCCTCCTCCACACTGTATGAAAACCACTCCTCCAATTCCTCCTCGAAGGTTGATGCATCTTGGTATACGAATGCATATGGTGTAGGCTCGACTGTGGGCATATTCGTAACTAACCTTCTCAGTTGTGCCAGAGAGAGCGAATCTGTTGGATTGTTCGATTCTATAGGCGGCGCGGGTGGCGCGGGCGGCGGGAGATGAAGAGGCGCTGGAGCGGGGACCGAGCTGTCGCGTCTTAAGTTCGGGCGTGTAGGCATAGATATAGGCACTCCATCTTCGTCCTTTGGTGGGGGGCCTTTGACCCCGTCGTCGAGGAAGAGGCCCTGTTCTTCAGCAGTATCCAAACCGGAGTTGATGCCACCTCCTATAGCTGATGCTTCTGTGCCTGGAGCCGGCGATTCTGACATCCCCAACATGTCTGCCTCATCTATGGCCCCTGGCACTTCTGGCGCCTCTGGAAGGTAGTTCGAGTCCATATTCGCACCCGTGGACTCCTCGGAGAATGTTGGGTGACTTTAGAATAGCAATCCACAGCGTACAGCATGGTCGGCGTTAATGTTAGCGTTGCCTCATCTCAACCTGTACTCCACCTGAGGCTCCTGCTGCTGTGTCTTGCGCTGCGTCTTGTTGATGTCTTGAGAGTCGATGCGGGCTGTCTCGCTGGTGGTCAAGGCGCTGCCAAGACTCAGGCGTACAAGGTTGTTTGGGGATGTAAAGCGACCAGTGCGTCGGCCTAACTACGCCCAAGAGCTACGGAATTTTATAAGTACTTCGAAAACACACAGGACCAAGCGATACAATGTGTACACTGATTGTTATGCATAAACCCGTCATGCCAAAATTTGCTCAGCTCTTTTTTTTTCTGTTTCGGGATATGCAGGGCCGGAGTTTCTCTGGCTCCGAGACGTACATAAGACCACTTAATGTACCCCACCGTGCCTACCTGCACTTCCACTAGTTAATTTCCTAAAACGATACCTTCCATTCCGTCCTCAGCTATCATACTCTGAAATTCATTTTCATGTTTGGAATGACCAAATCAAACACTACCCATGTAAGTCTCCTGTCATAGGATCAGTGCGATGCATAAGATATTCAGGGACAATCTTGCTGGAAATGGTTCCCCATGGTCAGAACACCTCTTCTAGTGGCCAGCCCCGAACTGGTTGCTGCCGAAGCCAACGTTCCACTTTTAGCTATCACAGCAGCTC